AAGCAAAGAGGGGTTTCAGTGCAACATCGGTATCAATCAGTCAATCAATCAATCAAGTTTATTTGTATAGCCCTCTTTCTGCTCCCTCTGTCCTTTTCTCGCCCTCTCTTTCTTGCCCTCTCTTTACCTCACCCCCAACCGGCAGAGGCAGATGGCCGCCCACACTGAGCCATGGTTCTGCTCGAGGTTTCTGCCTGTTAAAAGGAAGTTTTTCCTTGCCTGTGTCGCCTAGTGCTTGCTCATGGTGGGAATTGTTGGGTTTCTGTAATTAACTTCCGAGTAGGGTCTGACCTGCTCTGTTTGGAAAGCGCTGTGAGACAACTGTTGTTGTGATGTGGCGCTATATAAATAAAATTGAATTGAATTGAATTGAACAATAGCCCAAAGGTACCCAAAGTGCTTTACAACAAAGCCATAAAACAATACATAACACATACACTCCACCCCCCCACACACACACACATATTTATTGATGTTTCGTTGCAAAAAAGTCAGTGCAATATATAAGTCTAAATATAATTCTTACCCTGTATATAGCTAGCTTTTAGCGCTTAGTTATAGAATACAATACATATTTATTGTGCAGGAATAAGGGCTTAGCTGTTACACTGGTAGCCAAGTACTCGACATTTCGTTGTCAAATTCAACTTGTGTGTTTTGTGCAATGACAATAAAGGAAGTCTAAGTCTAAGTCTCTTAAGTCTAAATCTACAAAACATAATGATACAATTACAAGTGCTGTAGTGGTGCAGCCCTGCAGGACATTAAAAGCCTTCCAGAAATGCATAGAAAAGAGCAGACTGAAGGAGGAGACCTAAGAGACAGTATTACCCTAGTCAGAATTAAATGATAATGTAAAAAAGTGGGTCTTAAGCTTCGTTTTAAAAATGCTGAGGTCAGTAGTGGTGCGGATGTCAGGGGGTAGTATGACATGAAGGAGCAAAATACTTATTTACAGGAAGGAGTTTGTACACAGCTTTGACAGTCATGGATAAATGACAAAGTTCTCATCTGCATTTGGTTAAACTGTCATCAAAGGCATAAATTATGCCTAAATTTAAGAAAACTGTCAACCGCAGCTTCATATAAAAGTTAATACCCTCTCATTTCAGCTCTGATGACTGTGACTTGGGGTCAGATCCGTCTGATCTGTGTTCTGCTGTCGGATGGATGGTTTTCATCTATTCCACCTCGTGCGCTAAGACACCCATCTGCTCCGTCAACACATATAGCTCCGAAAGGATTACCGTCGACTAAGCAGATATACACTTAATACACCCTTCTCTCGCCGAGAGTGAGTTTGCGCTACAACTAATGACTGCGCGTTCAGTCGAGATAGCTAGACAGATAGATAGCTGTTCCTTTCCTGGAAAAATAGCAATGTTTTTTTTCATTGGTTGTCACATTGGCGCTTAATGTCTTCGCTCCAAAAGCAACAAACGCATTCAGTGAAAGCGAGCTTCATCTGAACCACTACAGACAAGCTGGGAATTGGTAAAAGTAGTAGTTTTTGGTGCTCAGTGGACGGATTTGGTGGTCAAACACGCAGTGGTGAGGAGGTCCAGTCATGGACAGTCTGGTTCACTGATCTGACGTCATACAAAGTCTCTGAAATACCGTCCACGCTTTTAATTTCTAGGACGTTACCGAGGTTACATGTCTGTTCAGAAAAAGGTGTTTTGCAGTGATTGATGAGGTTCAGTTGTCACGTGATTCCTGCAGGAAAAACCAGGCCGCGCATCCCGTCCCCCCGTCCCTCGGGCTCGCTACACCGCTGATGGGATTTGACCCGAGGGTCACACCCGTAAAGCTTTAAGCCCGCAGACTAACCAGACTCACCGAGCTTGCTGTTGCTGAGTCGCTTCTGCTCCACCTGGCCCCTCAGGGCCCGGACCCGCCGCAGCTTGGCCTCCTGGTTGTGCGCGTTCTCCCGGAGCTGCCGCAGCCGTTCCTGCTCGGACGCCTGGTCCTGATGCTGCTGCTGCTGATCCTGCAGCTTCAGGTACCTCAGCTGCCTCTCCTGCCAACGCACAGCCCACCACATCGAAAAATGATTTGGAAAACCTAAACAGGAGCTTAGACCAGGCTATCGAGGTCTCGGTTCAATCACGTCGGCGTATTTAAAGGTTAAGCTTCGACTTCATAATACGCAAGGTTTTGTGTCCTCTGGGCCTCGTTATGTTCAAGATGGCGAAAAGCACAAGCCAGTCGACTTTAAAGGACACTAAATATTCAAAGCATGGCGGCACAGGGCTGAAAACTAAGGTCACGAACAGCAGTGTCTGTGCAGAGAGAGGCTGGAGGCTTCCCCTCGTTCCCTTCCCTTCATTATTTCACCTCACATTTGTGCTGCGTTTCTCTTGGCAGGTATGATTTAGATAGGATTTTACGTTCGTCTCGCTGTTCTGTCCTCTCACTCTCCAGCTGGTTGAGGCAGATGGTCGTCCTTCCTGGATCTGGCTCCGTAGGAGCTCTGTTCTTTTTAAAAGGGACCTTTTCTTTCTACTATTAGCTGCCACCCTCCACAAGCCCAGGATGGAGGATTGAATTTACCTGAAGATTTTATGTCGTCTGTGGTAATGAACCTTTTAAATAATAATTAAAACATTATGTAAAAACTGGGCTGAGCTGGATAGAACCGGATTAAAAAGGTATCTACTTTTCAACTGGTATGTGGGCTGAAACAGTCGAATATTTGACATGAGAGTGTTTGACGAAAATAGCAATGAAAACACAATAAGCTGCATTTGACAAGAGGACGCTAAGGTGCAAATGATGGGGTTGTGTAGTAGCTATTAATGGTCTATACCGGGGGTTGTAATTATATTTGGCCCGCGAGACAATACCAAATGACTACGAAAGTTCTGCTCGAGGTTTCTGCCTGTTAAAAGGAAGTTTTTCCTTGCCTGTGTCGCCTAGTGCTTGCTCATGGTGGGAATTGTTGGGTTTCTGTAATTAACTTCAGATTAGGGTCCGACCTGCTCTGTTTGGAAAGCGCTGTGAGACAACTGTGGTTGTGTGGCGCTTTATAAATAATATTGAATTGAATTGAATTGAGAGCTGGCCCCCAGTATTGTACTATACAGCGCATTAACCGCTCATACTCCAAATCCCATAATGCCCTGCTGTTGTTCAGGACAGGACCCAGAAACTCCTCTGTGACAGTAGGTGTACACTTCAACTGTCACTGTGCTACCCCTTCCCAAAAACACGAGGCTACGAATAGAAAAATGTTTTAAAATTCTATTTAATAAATGAATGCCATTAATGTGTTTTTTTATTTGAAATTTGATTTTGCATGTCTCCACTATTAAGTTATATATATATTGTAATAAGAATTGCTTGTTCCATATTCAATGTTAAAGCAAAATTTGTTTGGTTCATTTGTTCAATCTTGGCCCGCGGCTTTGTTCAGGTTTTAAATTTTGTGTTTTTGAGTTTGACACAGTGTGCCGCACCTTGGTTGCCAGCAGCTGCTGCTGCACCGTGATCTGCTGCTGCTGTCGGGCGGCCAGATCCTGCAGCTCGCCCAGCGTCACGTCCAGACGAGGAGCCGAGAACTGCAACACACACGCAGGTTTAGGAGGTCAGCTTGACCCCCTGACCGCCACAGTTCCTTCCCTGCTTCGAGTCCTGTCACTAGCTGTTGGAAAGTCTCTTTTTTCTATCTGATTTTGGGTGCAATGTCTCTCACCCCGTTCTCCAGGCATCTTTCCGCAGAGTCCTTCATCTTCATCATCTGATCCGCAGCCCTGGACCCGTCTGGACACAAACACACGGTTAATACGGATGCGGCTTTTTCAGTTTTTTTAGCATTTGTGATGGCGGGTCTGTCCATTGAACCACTTTAAAACAAAAAAGGGAAACAAATTAAATAGCCAGAAGATTTTATCCAAGTAGAGTAAGACAGGCAAAATCAATTTAAAGGAGTATTATGATTGTCTGGTATCACTAGAAAGGCAAAGTTTCCAGTAATAAGAGTTAACTAATCTTGACCAGGCTAATACAAATCATGTCACCAAACAGAAAACACGGCCTGGACTGCTTAGCAGCTTGTGTACTTGAGTAAATCTTGAAAAGGCTAGTTTTTTTTTTCTTCAGGACAGCAGTAAAGAAAAACACACAACAGCCCCTAAATAAGACTGCATCCACACACACACACAGACTGTCACGCAATTGCATACTTGATTCCTTCGGGTCTTAAGCTGATTACAGCCTGTGATTTACTGTAGTTACACTCAGAAGTTCCTCTGTCTGACTCTCCTGCTTATCTGCACCATGTGCTGCCAGTGACCCACAACGCACACAAACAACTCTGAGCTGTGAGTCCACGAAGGTTCTAGCCGCGTAATCCCAGTCTTCATATAAAACCAGCGTTTTCACTGATCCGAACAGCAAACCAAGTTAAGTTCGACCTGTTCCGACTGTCTTTCTTCGTAGATATTCACACGTTTCCATCATTTTGTGTGTTCTTGTCTAACAAGATGGCACTCGTCTTGTTAGTTTGCTTAAGATTGGACATTGACAGCAACATTTCTATGCTAAAAATGTACGCACGGCGATGAAACTACTATGTTTATGAAGAATTTTAGTTTAAATGAAAGTGTTAGAACTCGATTTATTTCTTTTCTAAATGACCCATAAACCCATGAATGAAGGCGTGTCCCTTGGGTGGGCTCTCTGTGATGGTGGGTGGGCGTTTCCTACCTGACTCTCGTCCGGGGGGCCTTTGGTGGCGCAGGATGTAGCGTACCTCCCCCCTCTGATGCCCCCATCGCTGCAACACCTCCAGCATCTGCTCTCCCTCCCCGATAACATATTCTGGACGGTTGGAAAAGAGCGATAAAGCATTCGAATGACAAAAAATATGACATAATTGAGTATGTTTTTCGTTTTTAACCGTTCCTGTTCTTTGTGACATGTTTGGTGTCTCTGTATTGATGTCAACCCAAAATCAAAATAACTCTATTTCTGTTTGTTTCAGAAACAGGAGGCAACATTAGAAAAAGAGCGACTGTTGCAACTGTTCTATCAAAATAACTCTATTTCTGTTTGTTTCAGAAACAGGAGGGAACATTAAAGAAAAGAGCGGTTGTTGGGAACTCACCGGAACCTCTCCACGTCTCAGCTAGATAGCAGTCGGCCTCTCCGGGCTCCCTGCAGAGCTCCACCACATCTCTGCACAGCGTCTCCGGCATGATGGGAACCTCGGTGAAGTGCTGGTCATCGTTGCTGAGGTACACGGTGAGGAACATCTTAAAGAGAGACAGCAGAAGACGCCATTAGAAAATACAAAAAAAAACACCGGGACCTGAAAGGAGTCCAGGGTTTCTGTGATAAGCTGTAAAAAAAAAAGATTATTAATCCTTTAACAAATTAAACATGAAGGGAATGCAATCGGTTTTTCAAAAAATGCCTAGCTTGTGATTTAAAAAGCAGTTTTTCAGGTTTCAAACTGTTGTGAAAAGAAAAGGTGTGACGCATTGGCTCCCTGCAAAGATGAGTTAAAAAAACAAAACCTGCTTTTTTGGGACGTTTATGGCTGCTTTGTGTTTAAAACGGTAGCGGATATTTGTGGATTTAATTCCCATGATGCACCAGGCCATCTGTTTCTCCAGCAGAGTTGCCGATAGGCCCAGAGCCAGATTGCTTCTCGCAGCCCACCAACTTTCTCGGAGGGAGCGTTCAGCGTTTCGCCGCCTGTGTTTATTTCTGCGAAGACTAACAAGAACAGGAGAGCATCTTTTCTCCGAGGCTCACTGGAGTTTCACTGTTTCCGGGCTGCTTTTTTCTGACTCTGCTCTGTCATTTTCAGCCCCCGTCTCCACTCCTTTTCCAATTCCTTCTCCTCGGCCTAGTCTGAAAATGGATTTGTTGTTAACTTTTCTCACAAACAACTCTCTGCTTCACTCTGCTTTCCTTCAGTTATTAGTTTTCGTTGGTTTTTATGAGATCTGAAATGTTTTAATTCACAGTAATATTTGACATGCCAGTGTACCGATTTCTGGTGATGTTTTATATGAGCAATTGTGATAATATTCACTACTTTTTAAAATGTTACTTACATCCAATATGCATTTCAGATACCAACAGGCATAAGGTGAACCCTCCAAATAGTACTGCCTCCAAATTAGATCCACCATTTTCCGTTAAGTGCTATTTACATCTTCCACAACCAAACATATACTACCAGCACTTAGCTATGTTTGGATTATAACACTGATCTGACATTTAGTTCCAGGTCAACATAAAATATGTATCTATAAATACCTGGGGAAAAAAAAACATTTATTAACATTTATTAATGTCAAAACTCCCAATGGTCCATATCGATGAGTTCCTGGATGATTTATAATGCAGGTTATTCTCAAAAGTGTTTCCCTATATACGTCCTTATTAGTCCATGAGAGTTTTTTTTTGTTTAAAACTGACTTTGTCAGCTCTTTCGAAGTTTCGGTCAGACTAAAAGGTTACCCGACAGCCACAGAGGACAACAAGCTGTTATGGCTGCAAATGAAGTGCCGCATTCCGAAATAGCAACGTTACACGCCGCGGTCCATTAGTTTTTAAGAGGCGGCCCAGGGGGAGATCAGTTTTGCTTCAGTCAGCTATCAACGTCCTTGTCAACCGAATATCCAGATATAAAATCTCTAAATGTCTCTTTTTTTTTTTTTCTTTCAAAATACGCAGCACAAACAGGGGGCTGGGGTTTGAAGCCGAGAAACCCACGAGACAAAGACGAATTGCTGCCCCACATACGGCGGAGAGGAGAAGTGGGACGCCAACATCTTCCCCTCAGACAAAAGTGGGTCACAGCCATCAGTCACTGCGGCAAGGTCAGTCGGGATGCACCTCGGCCAATCAGAGGCCGGGGAGGTTGCCCGTCCTTCGGGACAACCTCCCGTCACAAAGCAGCTATTCGGCGACTAAAGGCCGAAGGGCTCCGGGAAACAAAAAAAAAATGGAGCTCGTTCTTGGCAAAACGGGCTGAAAAATCAATCCTGAAATGACGCCTTTGAATATAAAAACTCGCAGAAAAGAGTTCGCAGATAACGAAAGTCACCCAAATATACGCCTGTGATTCAGACTGAGATCACCACTGTGCTTTTGCTATACCTGAGGATATTCCTTTTTCACAAAATTGGAAAAACCGTGTGAGGATTTTAAAATTGCATAGGTTTTAAGATTACATGTCTTTTCTCTTTTATTAAATCCCTTGTGGAGGTTGATAAAGTATAATTGAACGGGACCGATTTTACTCTAATAGAATTCAATTTGATTACAGTGGGGTTTCCAGTCCTTTAACATCTTTTGTTTGTTGGTTATTGGCTCTTGAATTTCCCCTTGGGGATCAATAAAGTATCTATCTATCTATCTATCTATCTATCTATCTATCTATCTATCTAT